GCACTTCCTTCTGTGCTGGCTTCCCCCTCCCCCATCCTGTTGTGTCCCCTCTGGTCTCTGGTCACTGGTGTAGAGCTTGGCCTCAGGCTCTGGTCACCCCTGAACCTGACCCTCAGATGAACAGAGGTAAACATACCACCGTCATGGTCAGCGAGCGCTGTGCTCTGAAGCGCATGCTCCTTGTTGCCTGCTCCTCCAGGAGGGGAGGTGCTGGCACTGGTGGCTTTCTTGTTCTGTGGTGACGTGACTGTAGACCTGACAACGTCGCGGACTCGCTACTGTCCGGCCCTGTGGGATGGACGTCTGGCGTGGGTAAAGCCAAGCTGTGAGCAGAGCTGCCGTCTTCCCTGGAGGCCTTGGGGAGACTTCATTTCCTCTCTTTCCAGAGGTGCCTCCTTCCTTGGCCCAAGACCTCCTTTCTTCACCCCGAAAGCCAGCCATACTGCGTCCCTAACCACTATCATGTCTCCCTCTGGGCATAGCTGGGAAGGGGTCTCCGCCTTCCCATGCTCGAGGGGTTAGGTGGGGCCCCCTGGACAGTTAAGGGCAGTCTCCCTGTTTTAAGGTCCTTGATCTGAATCACACGTTCAGGTGACCTTTGCCGTGGGAGGGTAGCACCCACAGGTTCTGGGGTTTGGGTCTGGAGATCACGGCCGTCACTCTGAACGGCCTTGACCAGCATGCTCTTTGGAGAAGAGGAAAGTCAGACTTGAAGACGGTGGAGAGGCCTGTGGACCAGGCCCGCGCCTGCCTAAGAGGTGGGGTCAGAGCTGTTTTGAATGTTGTCTCTTTGACGGTGAATCCCGTGCTCTTGGCTTCTTGGCTGCGTGAAGTTCTGGGCTTCCAGCTCGTATTTCTACCCAAGAAAGAGACCCCCTCCATCCAAGAGGTTTGTATGTGCATTTACGTGCGACGTTTATAAAACAGGGTTCCTGTTGCAGGGTTCTGACAGTTCAGGCAGCTGCAGTGTTGTGTCCTGAGGGAGGTGGAAGTGTGCAGCCAGGTGTGGGTTTATTTACTGACGAGCCATCCCGGGTGTAACCCCAACTCAGCCCACCCTTCCCCGTGGAGACTTGACAGGTGGAGGGACCAGAGGAGAGATGGAGTACTAGCCGTTGAAAGTAAAAGTGAACCTTCAAAAACGATCTACTTCAGGGACAGCAGTGAAGACTCCATCTGCTGAAACGTGGATTTGAGTCACGTTTCACAAATTTAAAAGCAAGATGTTCCCTTTATGTTTTGAAGGACATGATGGAGATTCTTAATACGTGGTATTTTTGTGAAGGTCTCGTTCTCTTTTGCTGCGCTCCTGTGTATTCTTACAGGGTGAGTTGTCTAAAATTACATACCCTTCCCAGTTTAACACAGAATTGCTTTCTATCTGCACCTGGCACTTAAATTTTGGTTTAAGAGAAAGTTGTAGAATTGTATGTTACTGGCATCACTGCAGACCAACTGTGGTTCTGCTGCTGAAGTTCAAACAGCATTTGGTCGTGACACAGTCCAGATTTCAAATACTTGTGTTTCTAAAAGTGCTGGAGATAATTATTGAAACTAATATACGTGTGTAAGTTCTTCCCTCGTGTGTGGCATTTAAAGACTCGTTCTTTGTAATTTTCAATCTGCATTTTCAGTTTGCAGAAAGGACTCGATTCTTGAGAGAACACATCTTTGTGAAAAGTTAATAACAAAACTTGAATTTCATTTGCTTCAATTAAGTGCCAAAATGTCAAAACTTAATATGTTCAAAGTGCATATTAAGCCACACACCTTGAGAAAAGCCTGATGATCTTAAAATCAAGTACAGAAAATTAAAAATCCTGATGAAGAGCTTGAAATGAATATTGTTAGCTTCTCAGGGTTTACGAGGTAATTTGGCTTTTAGTTTTATTTCCCAAATTGAAATTTTTAAACTGGATGTTACTAGAGGGATGAGCGAGCGAGTGCAGGATCATCAGGGGCCAGGTTTGGCCCCCTGCCTGCTTTGTAAATAAAGTTTTATTTAAACGTAGTTGCGCTTGTTTATTCATGTGTTGTGTTAAGGCTGTTTCCATGCTACAGTGCAGAGCAGAATAGTTGTGAGAGAGGGTGCATGAATTATGTGGCTCCAGAAATACTTAGTACCTGGACCGTTTTAGAAAAGTGTTCGCTGACCCTCGATCTGGAGGGTGTTACCTGTATGAGGACATGCCTGTCAGCCAGGTGGATGGGCTGGTCGATTGTCTTGCTGTACACGGGAGCTTCAGTGTGTATGTGCAAACCCCTTCCCATCCTTCTGCCTGCGTGGGCTTCCCTTCCCATGATGTAGTTTATTATAAGGTTGAGTGGCCCAACTCCTCACCCTTCTGTAATTTCTTCTTACCACTTAACCTTCCTTCAGGTGGTTTAATCAGCTAATTATATAAGATGCCGCAGCGGGGTTCTGAGCTTCCTGTTTGTCTTCGTGTCTCTGTGACCTTAGAGGGGTTTTCCTTTTTATCTTATGAGCTGTTTGATGTAAGTAGCATTTGTTCAAACTGATGACCTGCAGTTACAAACACTTTCCATATTCTGCACAAACATCTTACTGTCCGTAACTGATGGGCGTGTTGGCATTGCTGAGGCCTGGTTCCTTTTGGGTTCGGGCCTGACTCTTCTTCCCCGGTGTCCTCGGCCTGGCTTGCTGGGCGAGGGTGTGCAGGTGGCTGACCGAGGTGCTCTCTGAGATTTGGAGCTGTACTGCCACAGTTTAGTTATAAGAAGAAATAGGATGAGTTTTAATTTTTATGGTGCTTTGTAAATTTTTTAAATTTTGGAATCATTTTATATGTCAGGAAAGTTGCAGAAATAGCACACACAGAGTGTTCCCACGTACCCCTCATCCGTCCCCAGTGCCAACGCCGAGCACAGCGCTGGCGGAGCCGTCAGTCAGGACACAAAGACGTCTGGGTCAGGTCCACTGACCGAGAGGGGGCCCTCATCTGAGTCTGCCGCTTTTACGCTCATGTCCTTTCTGTGGCTTGGACTCCCGTCAGGGACCTCACACGGTGTGTAGTTCTTCCTTCTCCTCAGCCTCCTCCAGTTTATACGGCTTCTTCAGTCTTTTGCTTTCCTCACCTTGATGTTTTTAAAGAGTAGGAGTTACTTTGTAGAATGTTCCTCAGTTTGGGTTTGTCTGGTGTTTCCTCATGGTTAGACCTAGTCGCACATTTTTGGCAGGAAAACCACGGAGGGGACGTCGTATCCTTCCCCGTGCGTTTTTCAGAGGGTGCGCGCTGTGGACACGTCTTGTTACTGGTGGTGTCAACCTTGGCGAAGAGCTGTCGCCACCTTTCTCTCCTGCAAAGATACTGTTTCCTCTTTAATTGAAAAGAATCTCGAGGTGAGACACTCTGAGATGTGCAGGTGTCCCATTTCCATCATGTTCTCGGCGTTCGAGTTACAGTCCCCTGGTGGAGCTTGCCTGCGACGGTTATGACCGTGGAGGTGGCCTGGGGTGGTTTCTCTTTCTGTTATTTCTTCCACGTTTGTTACTTGGGTGGAAAGCTGTCCGTTCTCCGCCATTTATTTACTTCCTTCTTCAGCTGTGCATTTATGGCATCGTGCATGCACAGGTCCGTGGTTTGTCTTGGGTTCTAACCCAGGGCTATCATTCCTTACCTGCACGGTGGCGTCCAGCTTGGCCACTGGGAGCTCCTTCGGGCTGCTGCCTGATGCCCCTGGCCCTTTGTGTGCGTCCTTGCCCTCTGGCTCACGAGGGGCTCCAGGCCCAGCCTGTGTCTCCACTGCCCCCGGCCCTGTAGGTCACACTTCCTCTAGGTTCGTTTACTGGAGAGCGATACCAGAAACCAAGATCTGGGCATTTGCGTTCACTGGTTCTCGAACCAACCATTTGTCCTTGAAGCAACGTCATTGCTTCCTGGGCCTCCCAGTGGGCAGAGCTGGGGGTGTGTGTTTGCACAACATGATCACACCACCGTCTGTCCACACTGGCCACCTGCTTGTGAAACCCGGGTACGCACGCAAACGCCTCTGGTTCTGACCCAGGACCACCACTTACCTCATTGTGGGTAACTTCTGCTGCTGACAGTGAGACTCCTGGCTCTTACTATCCAACGTATTTTCCGTTTCATCCACCCCTGGTGTGTGTGTTGTGTGTGTGTGGTGTGTGCGTGTGTCGCAGTGGTAGTAATAGGAGTTTCTAAGCCGTGCACTTGTGAGAAGCACGCTTGCTGACGCAGTGTTTCTGTGCGGGGTCTCTTTGCTGCAGCCTCACACTGAGCAGTGAAGAGAGTTCTGCGAGGGCACTTGGTCCTGCCCCTGCCGCCCCTCCTGGGGTGGGGGTAGTTGTCATTTGATAGGTTGGTTGGTTTGTGTCCCCTCCCCCCCACCATTGTTATCTTGGTTGCTCTCAATTCTTTATTTCTATTTTAGGTATTTTAATATTATGATGTTTTCTAAGAGTCAGAGTTACAGAAAATATATTCTTTTAAAAAAGTGTCACCACCCTGTTTTCTCCATCATCTGTTCTCATTCTCTCAACCCTGTTCCCACCACCTCCCTGAAGGCGGCTGGCCTCACCAGCTTCTCTCCCCCTCCCTGTGCTTCTCATGCACCATGCATGTTGTCCGCCTCCCCTTCATCCTGCGTGAGGGGCCTCCCACCTTGTGCTGTGCCGACTGGGCATCATTTGTATCACGTAGGGCACATGTGCATTTCCTTTTGCACTTAACGTATCATTCACAAAAAGCTTTCAGTCTACCCCATCCCCTTTAGCATTCTGTGATATGAAACCATTTCATTATTTCTCACCCACGGAATTTTGGATACGAAATGTACAACTTACGAGTGACATTCGGGGCAAGGCGCTGCCCCTTTGATGCTTTGCTTCCCGAAACACAGCGCTCCTAGGTGCGTAGACGCCGACACTTCCCTCTGCAGGTCTGCGTCGCTGTGGTGTGAGTCTGTGGCCGTCACTTGGAGTGCCTCTGCATGTAACCGCACGTGTCCTTTCCCTCCAGCTGATAGCTGTGTTTGAGGAGCAAGACCCGCACCATGGCGGGGACGGCACCAGCGCCAGCTCCACCGGCACCCAGAGTCCAGAGATGTTCGGCAGCGAGCTCGGCACCAACAGCGTCTCCGCCTTCCAGCCTTACCAAGCCACAAGCGAGATCGAGGTCACCCCTTCCGTGCTTCGTGCCAGTAAGTGCACGTTTCGTCTTCATTTATGGGAAGGCCAGCTTTTGTTAGCAGCCATGCTCCTGTGAATGGAGTTCATTATCTGTTTTTTATCAAAACTGATTAATATTAGGACCTGGGCAAATGTCTTTTGCAAGAGAGATAGGCAAGGTGCTTTACACTTTAATAGACTGGGCTGACTTTAGTTTGGACCGGCAGACTTTAATGGCTCACTGAAGGTAAGTGAGGGTAGTAGTCAAATCTGTGTTGCCTGAATTGCTCTGTCCATGCGTTTTGTCTGAATGCTGGAGCAGGTGGAAATCATGCAAGGCCTGCCATCGGAGCAAGACGTGGATGTTTGATTGACAGTCAGCTTGGTCACAACCATCACTTGACCTTAAACTAGAGACCAGGGGTGCAAAGACCTCAGGACCTTCGTTACCTTCCGGGGTCGGGAAGAGCTGCTGTTAGATACCATCTCAAGGGGGGAAAATGCCGCTGTAGTGAGTTCACGTCAGGAATCCCAGGAGGCAGAGGGCCCAGGTTCCAGCTTGAAGAATTCTGCAGCCATTCCTGCCAAGCTTAGTTGGAAAAGGGAAGAACTTTCGCTAAATATAATTTTTAGCGTTTGTAATTGTATAATCTTATAATTGAGCAGTTGTAAAGACTCAGAGGTCTATTTCCAGAAATTTGTAAGTTAAAAATGACTTATCTTTTGGGCAGATCTATTTAGAAACATTTCCATTTTTCAGGTGGGAAATGTAGTCTGCGTGACGTGACTGGTAGTCTTCAGGAGGTCTTCATATATAGACGGGTGATAATTTATAATGATGTCTATACAAAATATAATTAGATAATATTTAGAACATGTAGCTTATTTTTTTAAATTTTATTTTATTGAGTTATAGTCAGTTTACAATGTTGTGTCAATTTCCAGTGTAGAGCACAGTTTTTTAGTTATACATGAACATACATATATTCATTGTCACATTCCTTTTCACTGTGAGCTACCACAAGATCTTGTATATATTTCCTTGTGCTATATAGTATAAACTGATTTATCTATTCTATATATGCCTGTCAGTATCTATAAATTTCAAACTCCCAGTCTGTCCCTTCCCATCCCCCTCCCCCTGGCAACCACAAGTTTGTATTCTATGTCTATGAGTCTGTTTCTGTTTTATATTTATGTTCATTTGTCTTTTTCTTTTCTTTTCTTTTCTTTTTTAGATCCCACATATGAGCAATCTCATATGGTATTTTTCTTTCTCTTTCTGGCTTACTTCACTTAGAATGACATTCTCCAGGAACATCCATGTTGCTGCAAATGGCATTACGTTGTCAGTTTTTATAGCTGAGTAGTATTCCATTGTATAAATATACTACGTCATCTTTATCCAGTCATCTCTTGATGGATATTTAGGCTGTTTCCATGTCTTGGCTATCGTAAATAGTGCTGCTGTGAACATTGGGGTGCAGGTGTCATTTTGAAGTAGGGTTCCTTCTGGATATAAGCCCAGGAGTGGGATTCCTGGGTCATACAGTAAGTCTATTCCTAGTCTTTTGAGGAATCTCCACACTGTTTTCCATAGTGGCTGCACCAAACTGCATTCCCACCAACAGTGTAGGAGGGTTCCCCTTTCTCCACAGCCTCTCTAGCATTTGTCATTTGTGGACTTTAGAATGATGACCATTCTGACTGGTGTGAGGTGATACCTCATTGTAGTTTTGATTTGCATTTCTCTGATAATTAGCAATATGGAGCATTTTTTCATGTGCCTATTGAATAATCCTCCCAGACTAAAGACAATACTATAGAGCTACAGTCATCAAGACAGCATGGCATTGGTACAAAAACAGACATGTGGAAATGGAACAGAATAGAGAGCCCAGAAATGAACCCACAAACTTTTGGACAACTCATCTTCGACAAAGGAAGCAAGAATATACAGTGGAATAAAGACAGTCTCTTCAGCAAACGGTGTTGGGAAAACTGGACAGCAGTATGTAAATCAGTGAAGCTAGAACACTCCCTTACACCATACACAAAAGTAAACTCAGAATGGATCAAAGACTTAAACATAAGACAAGATACAATAAACCTCCTAGAAGAAAACATA